GAAATCCATTATTTTTGCATGAAATTGAATGGAAAAATAATGGATTTCTTTTTACTACAACTAATATATATAAAAAATTGAATAATTAGTCGACTTTGCCTAAAATATTATTAAGAAATAATATTCTGATTTGTCAAAGATTGCGAGTTTTGTCGATGGGAAACAACAGATTGACAGAAGTACCGTGCACCCTTGGTCAACTGAAGACCCTACAAGCTCTCGTACTTTGTGATAACATGTTAGAGAGTCTGCCAAGCTCAATAGCCAATTTAACGAACTTGAAAACTCTATCGCTTCACAAAAATAGATTACGGACATTGCCTACTGAGATAATAACGTTAAAATGTCTCACAGAGGTGGGTTATGAATAATTTACTTAATCATCCTATATTTTATACTTTTTATGTATGTGTATGTATGTATGTACATACATATACATTTAAAGTATCGAGGTAAATTTAATTTAACAATTTTTATTATAATTTTATTATATGAATTAATTCATTATAATGATTTAATATAATTGATTTCACAAATTTGATTTCTTTACTGCACTCTCAGTTTATTTAAATGTTTTTACTATGCAATCTTACTATGCAATTTTACTTATGCAATCTTTGCATAACAAATTTTATAATTTTTGTAACCTATGACTCTTAATGACCCTGTATAGATTGTTTATTTTTATTTTTTGTAATTCGTACTAAATTAAAATTTGTTCTGTGGAAAAATTTTATTCGTTTTGCGCAGTTGTCTTTACGAGATAATCCATTGGTGGTGAGATTCGTATCTGATATGACACACAATCCACCATCGTTGTTGGAGCTAGCAGCGCGCATCATCAAATCCAGTGATATTCGTTACAATAATGAAAGTATACCGCACAACTTAGTACAGTACCTTAATAGTGCCCACAGTTGTGTCAATCCTAAATGCAAAGGTCAGTGTTTCGATTAACAATAATAATTTAGACGTAATAAATGGTAATAAATCATTGCCTTGGCCAAATAATAATCGGATTCACATCAAATGTGAGAGAAAAATGAAAAGCGTAAACGATTGTGAGAGAAAAACTTTTTGGCATTTGTAACTATAATTATTGTATATTATTATAATTATGATTATGATTACTATAGTATAATTAGTAATAATAACTATATATATGTATAATTCTGTTCAATCAATATGTATAGTTGGCAATCGAAAATGACATATAATTATAATCATTTTGGTTGTCAATTATAAACAATATATTGGTTGAATTATACATATAATTATTATATTATAGTAATCATAATCATAATTATAGTAATATGTTATAATTATAGTTATAAATACCGAAAAGTTTTAAGTTTCTCAGTGTAAAATTGTGCAGCAATAAAATTGAGAATAATTCAAAATAACAAAGCATTCTTTTGGATCAAATCTCGTAACAAGGTTAACTTTTACTTTTCTGCAGGTGTTTTCTTTAATAATCGCGTGGAACACATTAAATTTGTCGATTTCTGCGGCAAATATCGCTTACCATTGTTGCAATACTTATGTAGCAGCAAGTGCATCGAACCACGCGATAACAACGAGGAACCCGTCAGTGGTGCAATGATTAGAAAAGTTCTTCTCGGCTAGTGAAATTTTAAAAATATATTTCTGTAATAGGAGATACTGAAGATCTCGAAAATTATTTCCACTTCAAGGGAGATATTTTCCATTTTTTATAAGAATTTGCTCTTAATCAATGATATAAAATTTAAAAATGTATATGTTTATATGGAAATAATTATATATGGGAATAATTATATTCTATACAAGAGTAATAAGTTCTAGACTAAGTGAAGAAAACTAAGGAATGAAAGTTACGACACATAAATGTATAGATATTACGACATATTTTATATTGAATCTGCATTTTTCTTCTTTTCGATATTAAAAATATAATACAATAACTATTATTATATTAAATATAATTTTATAAAATATAATAAATATTTAAATACAATATAAATATTTTCTGTTGACTCTTTAGTATCATAACTTCGAAGACAACAAAACAGAGAATAAAAGATTTTTTCAAAATCAATTTTTTTGAGATATAAATCCTATACTTCAAATTCTTTATTTAAAATTCTCCTTTTTCATTTTAAAACAATTTTTTTGTAAACTGGAATTACGCTACTTTCACACTATTACAAATTTGCCACATAATCATGTGACTATATGTATAGAACGAGAAAACGAATAAAAGTTAGAGCATGTAATTTTGCACATTGAGCTACAGAAAAATAGAATCAAAATTGAGAAAATGTTTTAAAGTAAAGAATAAATAAATTTAATTGTTGGAACAATCCTTTCCATTTCATTGACATATTCTCATTCAAGTATTTTAGTTTATTAAATCACATATCCTTTATTTATTCGCTATATATTTAATAATATATTAGAAAGCAAATTTTGGTAATACAGAAAAAAATTGAGACAGCAGTTAACGTTATTATTGTTAATAGTTTATTGTTAAATAAACCACAAAATATACAATAATAATATTATTTATATATAGAGTGATTCCGCGTGACGTCGGGGCGGTATCGCGCGATTTCTTTTTCGCTTAAACACATTCAGAATAGTTATACTACAAGGTATTCATCGTCGTCATTGCGACTAATACGTTTTTTGCGTCATTATGTTTCATAAAACTAAAGACAACATTCAAGAGAAAGAACGCAGAGGAGGAGTAGCGAAATAAGAATGGTAGGTAAGTGTATGTATTTATAATTTTATATATATATATGTATAATATATATATACTCATGTATATATATATATATAATTGTGTAAACATAGCAATCGTGTAATAAGAGTTTTACTACTTTTTTCACTTTTTGCTCACCGCTTACAGTACAGTACAGTGTGTAGTCATATATAATTAATTACCTATACATACATATACATATTCATATATATATGCGCTTTATCTATTATATATTACATACATATATATGTATGTACATGCTTTTTTCGCTTTCTCTCTCTCTTTCTCTCTCTTTCTCTCTCTCTCTCTCTCTCTCTCTCTCTCTCTCTCTCTCTCTCTCTCAAACTTTTATTTTTTCACATACACACACACATATACATGTGCGCATATAATCTCACACCTATTCACAACGTCAAATTAGCGTTTTTATCGTATAGGCGTGGTAGTTAACTAGCACTACTCTTTTTTTCTTAATCATCTTTTCATATTATTTTCATTTTATTTAACTGCATGGTAAATATTTTTGTATCGTTTCACTCTCTTCTCTCTCTCTCTCTCTCTCTCTCTCTCTCTCTCTATATATAT